TATATCTGTGTTTTTTATTATATTCATTAAATATTAGATAATTCAAAAAAAATTAGAGTTATGCAACATTATGTCCCTGAGTTTATTGATTGAAGAAAAACCTTTAAAAAATTAATTCAATGTTTATTAATGAGTTAAAGTTTAGTCATTGAGGTTTGATAAATAACTTTAAAAAAATGTTAAAGTTTAGTCATTGAGGTTTGATAAATAACTTTAAAAAAATGTTAAAGTTATCAACTTGAATATTGATTATTAAATTAATATATTCAAACTTGACAGACTTTTTGAAATCTAACAACTGTAGAAGATGAATTTAACATCCCTGACTTCTCTAATATTATGCAAACTATAAAACTCCACTTCCTGATCACTGACGCTCGACAATCCCCGGAACTATTTTTAACAGTTCCCTTCAGGATTGCCTTGCAATTCGAACTCGCTTTACTCGCTCACTGGTTACGTTACTTCCGTCTAGCTTAATATGCTTTTTTGAAGTCTAAAGTTTAGAATAAATAGTTCATGAAACTTTTCTCGGTACTCAATTCTAAATATATATTAAAAATAATAAATTATTAAAAATTATTTTTTGCGAAGAATTATCTTTGGATAGTTGTGTGCAAAAATTTTCCAATGCTTTAAAAGTTATCGACATATGGTGAAATTAGTTTATGTTTTATGTAATATGGATTGTTTACTTTCTTCCATGTTTTCCTATTTCCCCTTTATATTCATATGCTTTTATAGTTTGCAAAGTAAAAGAAATCATTTTTGATTTGAAAAGAAAATTAGTTATCCTAATATACAAATAGAAATTTATCAATTCATATTCAAATGTATCAAATATATTCAAGGAAAATTAGAAACATCTATGTAAAGACATTAGAAGATTAAGTTTTGAAGTTCATGTATATATATATATATATATATATGAGTTCTTTTCTTTTTTCACTAATAAATGTTTAGGTCAGTTAAATCTCGCTTATTTAAGCCTCCAGTTATTCCATTACCTCGTTACATAGTTTAAATATTGAGTTCTTACTGCTGGATGAAGTTAACCCATATTGCGACATAACTTAAGCCACTGTCATTTATGTTTTTTGTATTTAACATCCATGTTTTGGAAATCATTCGCACACATAAGCGTTGAGTACAAATGTGATCCAAATTTTACAACAGTTTATAATAAGTCTCGAAACAATTCTCTAAAGTAAATACTTTTGAATTAGCAGATATCTAAAAATAAAAGAGGATGACTTAGTAAACCTCAAATGATGGCACTTCTGTCTCCTTAAAAATGTCAATTTTTTTAAGAAATCTGATCTTCGATGGTTTGAAACCATAAATATCTACATTAATTTTCATCCCAGTTCTTAGTTTTTAAATTAAAATTATCGCTAAATTTATTGCGGATTTTCTCTACGATGAGAAAAATGCCCTCGTTCGTAAAATGAGAAAAACTCCTTCAAAACTTTTGAAAAATTGTAATAAGGAAGCTTTACGATTTAGAAAAAGTTTTGGTGTTAGAAGAGTTTGTTTGATTTATATAATTTTCAATAATTGGAATGTTTTCTATGATGAAAAGCTTAGTTTCACGATCGTTAATGCTTGCTGAAAGTCATAGAAATACGTGCGAAATATCATTAATGACTGTCAGTTGTGGATGTTTTAAAGAGAAAAATGTTGGAACTACTTAAATAAATTTCACATACATAAGTTTTGCACATTCAAATATTTATTAAACTTCATTGACAAACATATTTCACAATGAACTGTTACAGTTATTTTAAATGTAATCATTCTTTTCAAACTAACAGCATCTGTACAACGCTTAATTCTACTGTGCTATGATAATGCACCTGCGCAGTAACTAAGTTAAATGCCATTCTAGAATTTGAAGAAAAATTTACAACAATTTTATGTTTTAATTCTACACGTATTAATGTAATTGCCCAAAAAACAATAAAGTTATCACTTTCTTTTCCCCCTTAAGAAATTACCATTTTATTGAAACAATGCAGTTTGTTAATGTGAAAGATCAAAAAGAATTAATTCTGTAGGCTAGGAGAGGGATCAGCAACATTTTTGGAATTAATCCTTCGGGGGCAGAATTTTCATTAAACATATCTTTCTTTTTTTCATGATTTTGTATTAATTTAGGCGAACATAAGTTAAAAAATATTGTATTCACCATTTTAATAATTGATAGTCATTTTGTGCGTTATTGTTAAAATCTTCTTAACACGGCTAACTTTCAAACAATAATTTGTTCAAATTTTGAGTTCTTTAGATGAAACAGTTATTACATTGAAATTTCTTTAATTTACAAAGTCAATTATTGATACATTTTCGAATATAAGTGAGAACTTTTTCTAACTACTTATTTCGGAATTTATATTTTAGTGCAAATATAATTCCAATAATCTAATAGATTTTTTTTGTAGCCATTAGACTGTTTTGATATTTAAAAAATACTAATATATAGTTTTCTAATCTAAATACAGTCTTCAGGCTCCAGTTCCAGCAAAACACATTCTTCAAACTTTCAGAAATATTTAGTACTGCCATAAACAGGACAACAACAATTGAAATATATTTTTACTTGTAATCAGAGTGTCAGAACTAAAATTAATTTAATTACATTAATATTAATTAGAATTAATATGCAATATTAGAGCACTGTGAAAACAAAATGCTAAATTTACAGAAAAAAACTATCAGCTGATGTGGCAGAATTGAAATCATATTTAAGTAAAAAAAAAAAAAAAAAACGCTAAAAACAGTCCCTTTTAAAAATTTATGTCAATTTTAATGACCAAAAAACTATATTTAGAGACAGAGTATGAATTCGACAACTCATGATTTTACTTTTACGATGCTTAAAATCATAAAATAGTTTCATGGAAATAAGAACAAGCATAGAAAATAATCGTAAAATGATTTGAAAAAGCACAAAGTTATCTTACGGTAAGCAAAACTGCATGGCAAAAATTAGAATTTGAACTGATGGTATTAATATGGTTATGATTAGGATGAAAAATAGCGAAAAACGGTTTTGGGAAAAACAGCTTTAATCCGTGAAATATACGGATAAAGTCTGAAAAAAGAAAACGGAGATTTTTTGCAGCGCGGTGATAATGACTAATATCAGAAAAAAAATCTTTATTTATCTTTAAACAGTTTTTCTTCTGTAAAAAATAGGTTTTTGTTTTTGCAGAATTTACAGTTATTTTTTACAGGGTATGAATGAAAAGCAGGGTATGAATGAAAAGCATGAATTCTGATGAAAAGCATGAATTCTGATGAAAAGCATGCGTCTCTTGATCTTTAGGTTGCCTAACGACGTAAAAAAATTAATCTTTATTCAAATGGCGCTTCGCCAACTTAAAAAGTTTCTAGTATTTTCTAAACAGTCTGATAATTTTCAGGCTTATAATAATCAGCTTATACATTTTTAGCCTAATTATAAATGTACAAAGATCAACTCAATCAACCTGAATTTACTTGGGTTTATTGCAATGAGCGTAGTATTATTCTTTAATTAGAGAAATTTACTGAATCAGACCTAATCAGTAATAAATAATATACTTTTAAACTAGATTGAAAGCATATCCATGGGCTCATTGTAAATAAAATGTGTGATATATAAGACCAATTAAGTAATGAATTATACATTTTCTCATTCACCTAAAAATATCTAGTTTCATCGCAATAAGCTTGAAATATATGAGGCAAAAGAGAAAAAGAGAATATAATAAAACTTTTTCAAATTAGCATGGCGCATTGTACAATGACGGTTACAGTTTGAAAAAGGCAAGATTTTTCAATTAACTTACAACACATACATCGCAAGGATAATGCGTACTAATGGAGTAATCCCTTTACAGCCAAATAAACCATGAAATAAGGCCAATCTGAAAACGTAGAGGTTAGTTCATAGATTTGCCCACAACTACCAGTGAAAGTAAAAATGTTTTACGAAACTTTTGAGCATTTAAGCAAATACTGACTTATAGAAGAAATTTTTGATATATTTATGCATCGATCTTTCACACTAACAAATAAATAACACATTGTTATTTATTTTTATCTCAACAGTGTTATTATTACTTTTTCATTAGAAAATAACTTTATGTAGCAAAACTTTTACCCCACTTTTTAAATAAATTCTAAACAAAACGATTTAGATTGTTTTGTGTGCACAGCATGCTGAAACCTTTGGTTTTTAAGGAAGAGTTCAAGATATTGTTATGTTATCTAGAATTTCTTTAAAAAATAATAAATATTCTGTTAATTATCAGTGAAAAACTGCCCTTTCATTCTTATACATAGTTTATAGTAAAAAGTAAAGAAAAATAAATATTGCAAGACTTTAGTTCTTCTATTTATAACTTTCACATACAATCTAGTATAGTGCTTTCTAGTTTTTCTCAATGAAGAAATACAGCTGAAATAATATATCACAGAATTTATAATCACTCAATATACCTCATTAAAAATGTGAGCGTAAATAATTTTAGTTCACATTTTAAGAATTTTTTGTGACTTAACATTCATCATATCATCATTCAAAAAATGTTTCATTTAAAAAAAGCCTTAAAAATCATTATCAACAAACATGAGAAACAAACATTCGAAAATTATTAATCACAAACATCAATAGGACGAGATAAGAGGAAAAGCTATTTCTTTCATTTTTATGACTAATTAATTTTCATTCTAGCTATTTTGCATAGAAACAATTTTGGAATACCCTTATAAAACATACATCGTAGAACAGGAAGTAAAAAGTAATAAAATTATAAAGCGAAGATAATTAATAATATTAACGATATACTAATATGGTTATAATGGTTCTTAAGAATCTGATTTCATTTAAGATTTAACATAGTAGATAAATATTTATAACAAGTACATTCTAAACTCCATTTCACGCAAGTAATATATATATATATATATTTTTTGTTTTTGCAGANATATATATATATATATATATATTCATCATTATTTAAGCTTTTAGATTTATCGAACAGGAAATTTTTAGAATGCGACTTTTTGGCACAATTTAAAGATGTAAATTACAAAGTAAATTTTATTATTATAACTGTTTTCTATTTTTATTGCTTAAATATTATAAATGTTTAGGTAAGTAACGATTTGACATGTGTTTCAAATTTTAGTTTTACTTTACCGAAGATTTCAGATATTAAAACTTCTTTTAGAATTATTTGAAACGAAATTTCTCAAATAGATGAGTTCACATATCGATAGTATGTAAATAAAAGATTTTTTAATTGCTGGTAAGAAGGGGACGCTCAGAAATTATTATAAGCAAGTGTAGCATTTTATTTATTTGATTTCCATGGAGGGAAAGTGCACCCTCTTAACCAATGGTGGGAACGAATGTGCTGGATTTGTTCCATTAGCACATTGATTTTATGTCTATAATTATATACATTTAATCAATGCATTGTAAGTAAATTTCAAACAGTTTTATTTAATGATAACTAAATAAATTAACCTGTTTTGTACAATAAACTGTAATATACTGATGCAATCCACATAATAATTTTAAAATTTATTTTATATCATCTCATTTAGTTGTAAACATTAATTCTAATATCATTTTTAAAAATTACTTTAAGCAATTTTCAAATATTAATAAAAATTGTTCTTAACACTTAATCAAAGATTATGCCTAAGAAATGGATTATAAGAATTAAGATGGTTTTTCTGTAAATGATGATTCTGCTAAATTATCTTCTGAAGTGTCCCCTGTCATTCTAGAATAATAACGAACATGTTGTGTAGTCAGACTTGTATCTTCTTGTGCATTTGCTGGGAAACGAGATAAGCCAAACAAACCTCCTGTGGCTGAAAAACAATTCATTCTTTAATAATGATTTCATTCTGGATAATTTGATGTAACATATGATCCACGCTATTAGAATTTTTATTCTAAAATTACAGTAAAATAAGTAGTAGCAGTCTGTCCATCCAATTAACCCTAAAGTTGACGATAAAGAACATTTATTACTTTTATTGTTTTGAACCCGTTTACAACTAGTACGGTTAAAAAAATATGAATACAAAACTAAACGATTTTTTAACCATTTACCACTAGCATGGATTCAAAACAGAAAAAAAAAGAAATTTTATTGGACATTGGAGATAGTATTGCAGCTTTATGGTGTCTTCATACTCGAATAAGAGTATTGCATTCTAATAGTTCAGGGTCACAAATCAGAGAGGGCAAGACTATGGAAACTCTCGATGAGATGAATGAACTGCAGGAAATATTAAGGTGTCGACGCTGGGTCCCGAACCCCAATTCATGAGATTCTTAGATTAGCCCTCTCGGCTATAATGAGTACCCATCTGCAAGGAACAAAGTGCCTTCATTAGGTGGGCCTAGTTTGCGCAATAAAATTCTGGTTGATTAACCGTATTAGGTAAAAGCAATTAGTAAGCGGTTTTTCTCACGGTTAACAACTCGAATACCATCTTATTACGTTGATTCTTTTACTTATATTCCTAGTTTGTTGAATGTGGTAAAATGAGAATTAAATAAATTGCTTAGTTAACCATTTTTTTAAAGAAATTTCTAACAGTGCAAGGAAAGGAAAATAGAGATAAAAGCCATTAAGAAAAAGCAAGAGGTGCTTGTCAGGGTACACCTGCTAGTGTACACTGACAAGTGCATATAATTCAGATAATCTAAACTTTTTTAAATAACTATTAGACTGCTAAGTAAAAAATACCAAAATATATTTTTACTAGCAATTGAAGCGCCAGAAGAAAATAAATAAAAATAACACCAGTATCCAATCTGCGTCAAAGGTAGCAATTTGTAGGGATATTTCCGACCATGTGCTCTGAAATAGTGTAGAGTAAAAATTGAAAGAAATTGCTACGTTTCATAAAAACTTTCCTTCTATCTCGTGAGACCCCTTATAGTTTGTCTACGTTAAGAACTCCCCCCGCCACAAAGTATGAGTTCTGCCATGGAAACAAGAATCGCGCTTTTCAGGGAGGGTAGCTTCTCTTTACTCGAGAGATCGAAGATAAAGATTCCCTTTCTCTCGCCGATCCGAGCAAAACCCTGTCCTAAACAATGGTCTCACAGTGTTGTGTGACGATTTTTTTTATGTCAGTAATTTAAATTTAATTTAATCTTTCATAGTTAATAGTATTTGTACTTTTCCTATTTTATTTCTCTTCATTTTTTTTACCCATTTTTTTTCTGTGAAGAGAATTGGAAATGTTTCTTTTACGCTTACGTCAGCAACGCATTTTTTGTGTCATCTTTTTTCACCTTTTACAATTCAAGGTCGCCTGACCCCACTGTCCTCAAGGACGACATTCTTTTCCCTCACTTTCTAAATTTACGTCACCACTTAACTTCTTTTCCCATCACCTTCACGTAACCTTCAATTTTGCACGTGGTGATTCTTCCAGCCGGTTTTTCTAGAATTTTTGGGGTGTTCACGCCTTTCTTGGGGACTTCTTCCCTTTGGCACCATATTTGGTATGTTGTGGGAGTACTAATTTACACTGATTGGTGATGACCTAATCGTGTGGCAATCCCCCCATCCAATGACAGTCGTTCTCTCTCCTGCTTTTCAACTCGCACTTTCCCGAGCTTAGCCGACGCCATTATTATCGTTTTTGGTACTGCCAAGTACACTTCTTTCGGGGATTGCGGTGCGGCTGGTAAGCTGACCACCTTGGTCAGCGAGCCATGCCAAACCATCCCAAAGCTACATTTTTTTTTGCCATTTTTTTTGCTTTCTCTTTTATCATTTTCATTTTAGATCATTTTTGAGTTTGGCCAATTCCTTCCCAAACTTGTTTAACTACATCCCTCCCCACTCAGGGTATTTCGTTTGTCCCCTGTAAAAATAAAATAAATGCAATGTTGTTTGAGAATCTGTCTCCCTGTTTTTCTTACGGTGTGGTCATTCCACGACAACTCAAAGATGTTTTCATGATTGTCCATCGAAGTGAGTAACTCTTCCGTTTTTTTTTATTTGTATTTATTTGACTAGAGGGTAGTTACAACTTATTTATTGTTGTGTATAATTTTATATATGTTATTCAGTCGTCCTCTAACTTTATCTTGACCACGAGCCCTTGCTGTTGGGTTAATTCACGTGGCACTTTAGCAATGTTTCCTTCCACTATTTTCGATCACTTTTGGCCTTTCTTTACATCAATTAATGATGATCCAAATTTATTATCAAAATTCATTATTTAATTAATCTCTTTTATTTCTTTGATTGTTTTATACATTATCGACTGAATACCTCTATCAAATTTTATATACCCATTTCTCTGTACATAATATATTTTAATCACAACATCCCTTTTTTCTCAAAATAATTTATAATTAATTTATTATGGTACATATGAGACCCACCATCTTTTCATTAAACAATTAATAACTTTGGTACATATGAGATTACCTTTTTTTTTTACAAATAATTAATTTAACTTTGGTACACACCCTTATTTGAAATAGTTGCACCAGAGTCACCCCCACGGGTTGACTCACGGTAAAAAATGTCTGCGCAAACATACAGAGAAAAGAAGAATCTGCGTTAAATTGCATAAGTTCTTAATCAAACACAACCGATTTTATCGTTTACAGAGATTACCGGTTGCTGTTTGTGCATTTCTCCAAAGGCTTTTTTTTTAGATATTTCAATCTATTGTTATTTATTTCATAAGTAAGTAGCCGCCAATTCGTTGTGGTGGGTAGAATTTTTTTGCCTTCTTTGGTTTAGACAGGGGTCTGAATTTTTCTAACTCGCAGTCAGCGCCTAACTTAGCGGTGTCTACTCTAATGTAAATCTACTTTAATGTAATATATCAATTATGTATGTATGATATGCATGTATGTATAATATTATTTTGTTAGCGCAGTCAGAAAAGACATATTGTCATATAGCCAGTCAAAAAGTAGTTAGCTTTTTCAGGAAAATTTCTGAGTCTTCTGTGTATTTCTTTCTGCATTTTTCAGAAACTTTATCTTTTGAATTCTCTGTAATTTTACAGATTACAGTATAAACTACTATTTACTTTGCAGCAATTTGATGTATCATTGATTTCAAGTTGTCAATAGAAGGTCAAAACATGCTGATTGGGTCTCCGTTCATAATTGGTGTGGGTGCAGAATTTTATGCACGAAAACCATTTAAATATACTTTATTGGATTCATGCTGGGCAACATTGATGGGAATCTTCGATGCATGGAGGGATCATAAAAGAATGGCCAAATATTTTCTTGTAATTCCCCTGAAAGTTTTCTAATCCAATCGTGAGCAATGTGGACCCAATGAAAAGTACTCTCTTTAAAAATATTACCGATGTTAGAATACCAAGTGTGAGAAAAGGCTGCTCGTTATATCTAAGTAACTGGAAGATCCTTCGAATGGGTTGTTCATATTTCTAAGTTCTAACTAAGTTCGTGTCATTAGAAAACATCCCGTAAAGTGATGAATCTATCACCAGCTTGAAAAGTGCATCGTTAACAACTAGGCTTTATGGGGTTCACACACCTTACCATATGACCATATATTATCCAAAAATCGTGACTCATCTAATCAAGTTATTTGTCTCATTTCAAAGTCGTCGTTGCACAGCCGAGTCAATTTGAGTTTACGACTACCAATAATCAACTCCGTAATTTTAATTTGGAAGACTCCAGGATTAGAAATTTGCCTTCGTGGAGGTCTTTTTGATGGAACTAACTCGCATTTGCATTACAAGGAGAGAAAAAGCACGAAAATCTTCCACGATTAGACTGGTGACAAAGAGACTATAACCTATAATCCAAATACCAATGCATATATTTTACGTCAGCACTGTGGTCGGTGTGAAGGGGGTGGGAAATTCGTATCAACGATCGTACCATCGCTGGGATTCGAACCTGGGATTACCTTCTTGGGAGGTGAGTGCTCTATCCTCTGAGCCACCACTGCTTAAGATATTTGTTTCTAGTCATTCAAGATATATTTACGAGTACAGAAGAAGCGCTGATGGTAAGTAAACTGAGTTGGCATAGCTCATCAAAATTAAACTTCATTGCACTGTCAGTTGTCTTTCGTACAGTAATTGATTGTTTCCGTTACTCTGTGTTACTTGTCTATTAATACCTGTAACTCTATGCGTTCGACCTTGCTAAATAAGCACAGTGAGTTGTGCATGGTAGAAGTTATGCCTAAAATTGATTATTCTCGACACATCCATCGAAAATGTTGGTCACGGAATTCAGTAAGAGTTTCCAAGATGCTAAATGTAGCTGGTGTGCAACAAATAATAACAATTATCATCGCTAAATAAGTCACACCAGAAGATTAGGCTTTTACAAATTTAATACACATGATTATTCAGATAAACGATAAGAGCTAAAAACAATAATCGAACTGCAGAACATGACGATAATTGTATGAACAGTACTCAAAACCACACGTTCTCCCCCAGAATCCCACCAGAAAATGTTTTTCTTCTGTACCGCTGAGAGAAGGAATCCTTTTACCCTATTCACAAAAACTGATGAATATACGTTTCGAAACATTCCGCACAAAGCGTTTGTTAACTACTCACATGCAGACGTAGTTGCATGTAGTAGTTAACAAACGCTTCTAGTCTTATATGAATTCTAATAATTGCATCCTCACTCCCACTTCTATATTCCTTACGTGAAGCTACTACCACCTGTATTTAGCTGGTTAAATTATTCGATGCACTCTAAGATTCTATGTAAAATCTTAATTATTAGTTGATACTATACAGCTTTACTGTTTTAACGCTGCTGAAACCGGTTTGCCCTTGTTTACGTTCGTGAAACAATTGGTTAACATTGTAATGTAATGCGTTAAAAATAAATACAAATAGAAGGTTAAATAAAAAATCTCCTGAATCATATATATTTAAATGTAAAAGTATCGCAGCGTGCAAAACATCTAAGAATCAATAAATTACAGTGCGTCTATTAATTTTGTCTAATTATTATAATATACTAATATAATACCTGATATAATTCCATTTTTACATAATATATCGTCTCATTTAACCCATTGATACACGAACGTAAACAAGTGCTAACCGGTTTAAGTCTCATAAAAACATAAAAGCTGTATAGTATCACCTGATAATTAAGATATTACATAGAATCTTATAGAGCGTGGTCAGCTACTGTATGACTTTTGGCACTTTTTTATGCAGGTTGACACAAAAAAACGTGGATTTTTGAAGTAACGCTACTTGTACTCATAAAAACCTGCATTTTTCATGAACATTTCTTTTAAAAACATTTTATATGACGAAAGTATATGTGCAGAGTAGGTCATGATATATGAATTTATAAAATGCCTCAAATTGTCTACAAAAGGATGTTATTGGAAATATGGTCTCCGTGTCAAGTATGTAATGAAAAGTCCGAAATGCTTGATGTAGTGCATTTTTCATTGATCTAATTGCATGAATACAGAATGTCATTGGTGTTTTCATATCAAATTATGACCAACCGTCTTTTATAAAAGGTGGAATTAATTGAAATCTTAAAGGGCCATATCAAAGCATTCCAGAATTTCCATTACAGGCTTTTAGAATGTGAGCACCAACATGGAGAATATATTTTCATTGTCATCTTTAAGTAGACATTTAGTGATCTTTTATTGAAAACACATAAAGGACGTGATGCATACGCACACTTTTGTCAATAAAAATGTTTTCCACTTTTTATTAGTTTAAATTATGTTTCTTCATAATGTTCCTGTTATCCAGTGCTATTGTGCATAAAAATTAGATGTGAAGAATTCCTTTTTTCTTCTTTTTTTTAATTTAAAAAGAAATAGTTTCCCACTAAACCGAATTCGTTGGGAAATTATTCCACTGACATATGCACAACATATATGATACCATAATTATTCAAATGAAGTTATTCCAAATTTGCATACTTGCGTAACGAACTATGTTGTGTCCAGCCAGAAATAACGCCATGTATATAATGAGAGACATGAAACAAAGAACTACACCAGTCACTAAGAAGGTTATAGGTCCAGCTCGATCAAATTCCTAAAAAGAATATATAGATTACTGTTAGTCACGTTCATCAAATTAGGATGATAACTACTTGTAAGAGGAAGAGAGGCCTGTACAATGACACCAAGACAACTTTTTTTTGCATTTTTGCTCATAACTTTAGCTTTTGTATTGGAAAACAGGATTTCCATTTGACAATTTGAAGGTACTTGGTATGGCTTTCGAAAGTCACCGATGCAAAAATATTTTCAGAAAACCTTTTGGCTGCACAACAAGCCTTTCCCTAAAACATTTAATTTTTGTAATAAGAAAATTTTCGTTGTCACAAGAAACGAAAAAACTATGCAAGATATTTAAAGTAGGGAGGCAATGTTACTCGCGTGCTAAATGAGTAACGGCGATGGCTAAGGCAAGAAATTAGAGATAATTCGATTTTTCGAGAGAATGCCAACAAAATTATTATGATCCAGTGGATTCCTTCGCATGTGGGAATCAATGGCAATGAAAAGGCAGACCAACTAGCCAAGAAAGGAATAAACCGATTCCACCAGACTCCCTTAAAAAACAATTTTCCGAGAAACTTATGACTGACGTAAAGCGCAACCAAACAGTAAAATCCATCGGAAAAACCCTGGGCTAACATCCAAAACAGTTGGAAGAAATTTTGTCACAGTTCTTGTAAGAAGGCTGGGACAAACTTCAAACTCTCAACAGGTCATGACTGCTTGGCAGAGCACCTCAACAGAATAGGTATACTTCCATCTAGTGAGTGCCAAATCTGCAATTCGGGAACCATGAACTCAGACCACAAGCTTGTGTGCCCTTTACTGGACAAACAATCTCAAGAGCGGGGTGATCTCTGCAAACTTTGCTGGGATGCCCGAGATCACATGAACTCTTTGTAAAGGCTGCTCCTCATTCTTCACTGTATATACATCTTTTTTTCTTACTTTAATTTTATCTATGTGTTCTTTTTGTGTTAATATGCGTTTGCCATGTGTTTTCTTTGTTTGTTAATGTAATTTTGTTCCTTTTTACTCCATGTTTACGTCCACTTAAAGTTGAACATTGTATATGGATTAATATTTCCAATAAAGCCATATGTAACAAAATATTTAACGTAATTACAGTAGAAAAGCTTTTGACAGCCTATTTAACCTGCTTTACTTTTCTGGAAATTGCCATTTTTTGGTAATTAGTAAATTAGTAGATGCTAAATAAATATCTAAGAAAATTTATGTTGAAATATTTTTTCTATCCAATTTTAAGCTCATGGCTACCAATAATCAACTCCATGCCCTGTAATTTTGAACCCAATCCAGAAGACAATAGTACTCTTGGATCAACTATTGGGAGAAATTTGCCTTCATGGAAAACTTTTTGATGGAACTAACCTGTATTTGCGTTACATGGTAAGGAAAATCACGAAAATCTTCCACGGTTAATCTGGCAGCAAAGGGACTCTAACTCATGATCCACCAACCACTGAGGATATTCTATGTCAGCACTGTGGTCTGAGCGAGCCGGGTGTGGAATTCGTATCTACCAAACATCTCTGGGATTCGAACGCGGGTTACCTAATTGGGAGGCCATTATCACCCATATATGGCAACGTTACTTTTAAAAAGTAACGAGTAAAAGTACAAGTATTTTTAAAAAGAATTTGATTTTAAATCTTCTTATTTTAAAAAGTAACGAGTAAAAAGTACAAGTAAAAGTACAAGTACTAAACAAAAATCATTTAATTCCGCATCTAA